ACTTCTATAAGTCGAAAGGAGACTGCGACCATACCCGAGGCCACCACATCTTGGTCTTCACATCTTCAATACTAAGTATGTTCTACAAGGTCTCCCTGTTGCCCCTATCAACTTGCGAAAAGGAGGTCAAACTAACACTACAGCTAAAAGAGACTGCGGCCAAACAAAATTCCACACCATTTTGTTCTTTATATCTACTATTTAAGAACCTTAAGTAACTGCATTTTTCACATTTTTAGCAACTAAATTTAAATAACATGAAACAAACTGAGTTGTTATGACAAAATTAGTGATCTGCAGACCACTAGGACGTCCTTAATATATCAACTTTTGTCTTCATATGATACATATCTGACAATTTTACTGGTTAGCCATCATTTTAGGATTGCTTTACTCATAGTTCTTGTTCTTAGGGGAAGGCATATTCCATCACAATTATTTTTAATAATTTTTATATTTAAACGATCTAAGTTAATGCTCTATTTATTTGTTTTTTCGGTTCTTTTTTTATCAGAATGAAGAACTCATTTCTTTGATTGCTATGCCAGCTGCGAAAGAGCTGGACGATGTCGAGGAGACCAACTTATTTCGCATTGATGTCGAATCTCTGGCCTGTCTTGTTATCGAACTCTTTACTAGCCGTTACCTTTCGTTCTCAAAAATGTGCGGCGGAATCTTGCAGCCATCTGGTATTCCCATTGTCGAGTTAAAAGACCCTCAGGACAAAGCTCGTTTAAGAAGCAATTTTATTCGGGAGCATCAGAATAGAGTACAACATGCCAGAAAATTAGCTCGAGACTATTGGTCACTTATTCCAGGGTACTTTATCTTATTTTAATTATAGCTAGGCTTTTAGATTATCAGTAAATTCTGAATAAGGACCATAGCTACCTCAAGTCAAATGCGGTGATGAAGGACGGATAATTTGGACTTCTCATAATGATATGACTATGCTTCTCAATGCCATTTAATTTTGTCTGACATTGCCTCCTAAACTATTTTTTAGGTGAATAAATAAAGTTTTTACTTTTCGTTGTTTAAAGAGGGTTTCGGGGCTACCAGTAAATCAGTTATATGAAATGTTTTTACTCTATTTCATTTAATGGGATGAAGGACTGGTAGTCGAGTTTTCCCACAATGGTATAAGTATAACTGCTGCTTCCATTGAATTTCACATAGACTTGCTTTCCCAAAAGGTGTTCTTATCTAG